TTTCTAACAATTCCCAAATATGCCAAATTACTTTTTTCTCTAAATTGAAAACCAATGTAAAATAAAAAGTTCATCTGTGAAAAATATGAGACAGAAGTAAGAAATGAAAACAAGGAAACAAAAAAAGGACTAAACCCCCCTAAACTTTAATATTCAGATATATAATTCTTTTGTTGGCTTTCTCTCCATTTAGTTACAGGAAGCATTCATATCTTTACAAAAGGTTATTTTAGTCTTAAATCTGCAGGAACACTGGTAATCCTATGATTTATTGGCACATTTCTTGTAAGAGAAGTCTAATGAAGAGCAACAGTCCCCAGTGGGCATGGCTGAGCTACTGGTGATAAGGTAAAGAACCATTAAGTAAATCCTTTCTATATGAAACCACACTGAATGGATGCAAGTGAATGGATATTGGCATGTACTAATCTTTTCTTATGGAGATAAAACCCACTTCTATCCAGGATGAATTTGTGGATTTAATTAAAAATAAACAGTAAAACTAAAGAGCAACTTGACATGCCAGAATAAGCACCTTACCAAGAATGATTTCAATTCAAGGGAGGTTTAACTTGCTTGAAATTAAGCAGAATTTTTTTTTTTTGAAATTTCTACATGCTAATCATAAGCAACTAATGATTAGTACCAGCACTTAACGTTTTACCATTTGTTAGAGAAGTAACTTCCCATCTGAAAGCAAAACCACCTAGAGTGGCTGATTACCACTTTGTATGCCTGAATTTAATAGATCCTTGAAACTGCTTTCAATACTGTAGACTTATTATGAATATCAGTGACATGGGTGATGGTAGGTATCCCAGCTATACCCCAGTGATGGCTCAAGAGTACTGTGGAATTACAGCAATATTCTCATCAAGTGGCTACATGTTTCCCATTCCCATTCCTACCATATCCCTGTCTGAGAAATGCCACTCACTAACAACAACGTGGGCCCTGGGGCCAAGTGTATACCCCTTCAGGGGGGACCACTGACCCCCTGTGAATAAGGCATATGTACCAAGAAAAGACTGGACACACGCAAGGCCAATCACATTCTGTGCCCTGGAATTTCGAACAAGGGACCCTTGTCCATTCCTGGTTAGAGGAAGGACACATAAATTCAGATTTGGAG